CACATTTATTTTAAATAGCATCTTTTTTTTTCTTTTTTTTTTTCAAGTCTCTATCTATTTATATTTTTTTTCGTCAATTTGCAACATTTATTTTTTACACTAAATGCTTATTGACGGCAGTATTGAATTGTGAATTGAAGTAAAAAAGTTTGGCAACGATAATCAGAATTTTTTTTCATCAATATTGCAGAAGTGTTTCAACGGCAGTGTGTTTGAAATTATGCAATTGTCAACTGTTTATCATAGTTTATGAAAAAAATTTTTATTTGGTATTCAAATTTGATTGTATGCGTTATTTTTACTATTGTATTATTGTTCTAAATTCAGATGGGAGTTTTTTTTTTTTTTTTTGCTTGTCTATAAGATTTTTTTTGCTTAAAACGGAGATAGAAAAGATAACATTTGTGTAAATATATCTGAAAAGCACTGATTAGGTATCATTTATGCTATACATTTGTTAAAATAATGATTACGGTAGGGGAGGGGGGCAGAAGTATTTTTGCTTAAAAAAAGCTTTTGCTTTTAAATAATGGTGACTTGGTGTTTTGTGATATATTAGCTTATAAACTATTCATTTTGTTACAGCTATTATTGGTTTTTCTGTTCAGAAAAAGGTGCATTTGACACAGCTTTTTGATGTTAATTTATTTAACGATTAATTCGTATTTACAAGTTAAGTAACGCATTTATGTTTCAAAAAAAAAGGACTGATTGCCACACCATAGATTTCTCGTTTATTTTTTTTTATAGTTTAAGCCAAGTTAACTAACTTACTAATGCACTAGTTTTTTGGCGTTGTGTGCAGAAAGAATAATTTATAAAAGCATCATTGTTGGTAGCAGATTCTGTTGATTCATTGAACAAAATTTTTCACCTCAACTTTTATTCAGTTTCTTCAAGCGATATTTTTTTTTGTTTTTTATAACAACGTCTTTACTTATAGTATTGTAGAATGGGTGCTTTCCACTGTTTAACGTACGTACTTGTTATGTGCATGTTTCTAGATGATTTCTTAGTTCAGTTTTTTTTTTGAATATTTTACGAAATAGGAATGAAAGCAAAACAGAGTTTGACTTTTTTAATCTTTCTATTCGAATACTGTTAGATAAATTAAGTTGAGATAATCAGCAAAACCAATGAACTTTAAAATTGATCAGTTAAATGCTATTTTTAAACTAGTACTCAAGAATCGATTACAAAAGATCTTAGAGCGGAATTTAACACTTGTTAAATGAAATAATCGTTTAGTGTATTAGAGAGGAAATTGTTTTGTGGCAGCCAAAAAAAGAGGAAGTTGAATTATGCAGTAGCAATTGAAATGTTGAAAAGCAGAAAATTTAATCAAATGACTCAATTATTATTATTTAAATGGATTATGAAACTATGAAACTTTTTCAATCTGTTTATATTTTCATTAAAAGTTTTAATTTTTTTTATTTAACCTGTAATCTGTTAGTTTGTAATTACATTAATTTTTTGAGTATTGCATCAGTTACCTTTGTATAATACATTTGTAGAAGCCCACACACTGACTGTCAGTTAGTGTGTTGTGTTACCGCTTTTTCACTGGTAACTTTTGAACTGCGCTGTATTTTGATGATTAGAAGAATAATATGCCTGAAAGGTTGAAAGGATTAGTCCAAGCTGTACTAGATTTAAAGATGTTGATGTTGATTTTTGACGGCTCAGGCGCTGTATTTTGTGGATAACTATGGGAAAACTGGGTTTTTTCAATTTCAGAGTTTTTAAATTAATTGAATTAAATTTCTTTCTATTTCATTTTACTTCTTTAATTATTGTATTAATCTTTTCGCAAAAAGATATTTAACGGCAAAATTGGAACAGAAAGTGATTTTGGTCGGTCATTTTTAAAGCCACTGACTCTCTTACTGCAAGAGTGGAACAGAGCCTTAGGTAGCGCTGAGAAGTTATTCTTTTTAAAACTTTGTTCTGGCTGCTGAAACTTGATCAGTGTCGAATGGAGCATTATGATGAGCCAGTTAGAAATTTTTTGACAACTTGGTAAATACAGTTTAGTATGAATGGTTACACCTTGAAGCTGACACTCGTATTAAGGTTTGAGAAAATTTAGTTTCCAAATAGATACAAGCAAGCCTAGCACTGTTGCCAATTTGGATACGAGGTTTTTTTTTACTGTATTAGATATTTAATCCTTTTCTTCTAGACTCTGATCTTCACGTCTACTGACAGGAGTTGATCGATTTTTGCTATTTGGAACTAATATTTGAAAATGAATTTTTTGTTTAGTCTTAAACTGGATCACGGTTAATTGCATATTTGTTTCTCATGGAATTTTTATTTCTTTTGATATGCCATTTACTTATTTCCGTGTTTCCATTAATTCAACATTTCATGGTTTTTTTAAGTAATATTTTCATAAATATAGATTTGATTTATGTGGCAGAACACCATTATTTCTTATGGTTCTGCTGATTTTCAATCATTCTTTCTAGATGGAGCAGAGTGCAAGTGAGTCAAGTAGCACAACAAGTCGTCACGGGCCTGAATTTAGCGGTTCTTCTGTCCACTCTGTAAATGTGACGCCAAAAAGTCGGCGAGCACCGAAAGCAAGTTAATTAATTTGCTGTACCCTAGTGATATTAGTTTGACTTTATGTTATACAGTTGGGATTGGAGATTAAAACTGGGCAATGTTTCATATGCAGAATGTTTAGCGCATTATGCTGTATTTTCGTAAAATATCTTGTAGTTTTGATTAATTTTTTAGGTTCATAGAAAAAGTGATAACGGAGCTACTCCTTTACATACGGCATCACGTTTAGGCGAGTGGAGACAGTGTAAAAAGTTGATACAAGATGGAGCTCCAGTGAATGCCACTGATTTTGGTGGTTGGACCCCTCTTCATGAAGCTTGCGCTCGAGCTCGTTTTAAAGTTGCAAAAACTTTAATTGGGTAGTTTTATTACAGTTTATTTTGTTTTTGCTGTTAAAAATGAATAACTTTTCATGTCTTTAATTTTCAGCAATGGTGCTGATGTTAACGCAGTATCAAATACTGGAGATACACCGCTTCATGATGCAGTGAGAAGAGGATGTGAAAAAGTTATTATTTTATTCAGTATCATTAGTTTGGAAGCAGCATTTATTTCGCTTCTCTTTATCTGCTATAATTCAATGTTTTACATCTTTTATTGGCCTACTGACGACTTTAATCTTTTAGTTGGTTTGGCTTTTATTACATTCTGGAGCTGATAGGGACAGGACGGATCGAGCTGGGAAGAAGCCTATAGATTTGTGTCCTGCACGTTGTGTATCAATAAAAAGCCTTTTAACTTCTTCAGGAGTTCCAGAAAAGTGCCCTTCGGGAGGTGATTCAACGGAAACCTCTCCTGTCGAGCATCATGTGGTAAGATAAGTCAATTTTGCCTATCATAGAATCAAGCATATTCGGATTGGTGGATGCAGTAGTAGAAGCTTTGTTTCCTGCCCATATTTGTTTAATTTTTCGTAAACTATTGCCGTTCACTGTGATATTGCAGGAACTTCGCCATCCGTTATCAGTAACAATTGACTCACCAAGCATGTCGGCTTCTAAACAGCCTACTCCCTCGCCTGCGGAAACAGAAGCTACTGTCCATTCAGAAACATGTCTTCAAGGTAAGTTATCTGATTATTCTTGTATTTGTGATATACAACTTTTGGCAGTTCAGTTTCTGATAATACACTGCTTTTAACTTTTTCTTCTAAGCTTATTGCCAATTAATGGAAATCTTGAAACAGTAGTAACTTTTAGAAGAAAGGGAGCAAGAGAATCTGGATTCTGACATCGATCGGACTATGACACGAGAAGGAGAGGTACGTTTAGTGTTTTCGCCTCGTTAGTTGGGCTTGAAAAAACGTCTTTTATATGCAACCTTTATTCCAGAAACAAGGGATGATTACTGAAGGAAGTACTGCTGATGCTGATTCCATAAAAAAAACTCAGGACTCTAATGATGTACGGAGGTAACGTTGGAAACTTCCGCCGTCTCTTTATTTTGTAACTGGTCAATTACTTGGTGAAAACTTTTGTTTTAAAGTGGTGATGTGGCAGCGGCTCAGAAGCGAGCGGTTTGGGGTAATGATGAAGTAACAGCTGCAAAAAATGATGAAGCCTTGGAGGCTGAAGCGGAAGATGGTGATCAAGAGAGTGGTGCACAACCAGAAGATGAGTCTTCGGGCGCTGAACCGCGAAAATGGGCTAGAACTAGGGGTACGCCAAAGAAAGTCCCGCTTGGTCAAGAGAAACAACATGTTTTCACAGACAGGAGAAAGCAGCGGTATATTTACTGGTCGTTGGATATAATTTCCAAATTTTATTTACTGGCACCGAATTACTGTGGTGTGCTTTTCCAGCGGAAGAAGACGAGGAAAAGTCACAACTGCATCAAGATCTCTGGTCTTACCTCACCCATCTACGTCGGAGGATATTTATGAATTTCGTTGTAGCCCAGAACCAGAAGCCCACGACAATGTAAATCTGAATTAAACTTCTCTTATCTTATTTTTACTGCAATGTAACGAGTTTGATTAGTATCTTTCTTTATAACTAATATTTTTTCATTTGTATTTCTTTGCTTCATGAATATTTTTGTTTTTCATACTTTTGCTTCAGACTCAGATAGAAGTAACAGATGAAAACGGTATTTCTCCAGATGCAAAACGACAACGACTAGAGGGCACTTACGTACATGCTCAAACTGCTGGGCCGTGTAGGTTCCACAAAGTTATCAGATTTAAAAATTTTCTAAACATAATATTGATTTTTCAACTTTTAGCAGTTAAGCAAGAAGAAAAGCGACAAATCGATTTAACGGAAACTAATAAGGGGGGAGCAGGGGCAACTGAGTCAAATGAAGAAGGCAATGGAAGTAGGAAGGTGATGTGATTTACCGGTTTTTTTGTACACGTCTTTTAATTTAATTTCTAAATAACGTCTTGTCTTACTTCAAAATTTTTTTTGGGAACATTACCATTCTGTGTATTATACCATCACCTCACTTTACTCCTCAAAATTATGTCTCTTCCTTTTATACCATCGTATTTGTAGGTTCCTCCAATAAGAATCATACTTCCTAGAACAGCAAGTGAGGAGAATTCAAATGCTGTTCCTTCTGAAGAAGCAACATCTGTTGCTGCCGGTACGCGCAATGGCGCAAAGAGAAACACTCGTGTGGCGAAAAATCAAATTAAAAAAGAATCTACTCCAGAGGGTCCAGCAACACCACCTCCCGCCGATAATGGCATGCACCGTATGACTCGGTTGGTTATTATTCGTTTTTTGGATTTTCTCTTCCTCAGTTTGTGTTCTTTCTGTGGGAATGAACATTTTATTCTTATAAACTCGCCAGTGCAAAAGCAAGTAATGATCTAATGGGATAAGGAAACAGCTTTCTCATAGATGAAGGCTATGATCTTTTATAACTTCGGGATTTTACATTTGTGAAGATAGTAGAGATTTTGTGTCGCCTGTAGTTCACATATGTTTTCTTCCATTTCGCTTGCAATAACTGAATTCTGAAGACCGTTTGTATGTAGACAGAGTTATTGTCAGACTAAGAGAGTAGTCTATTCTTCTACTCGTCTTTGGGTTTCTACCCTATTTCTGATAAAGGTTTTTCAAGGTGAAAAATGTACTCTTTTCCTTCTTCGGTTACCAATTTTAGTAGAATGTAGAAATTAGGGACTTTAGTGCCTGTTGAACGGCATATTTCTATATATTGTTTCAAATGTGTGTTCAGGTTTTTTCTTGTCACTGTAATAGCCAGACTCACGTCTTTATTGTCGTGGAGAGTACTTGAACATGAATGTTTTTGTCTTCTGAACAGTTCTTTTAGAAGCAGAGTACGTCAGGCCGGCCGATCTCTAAAGGATGAGGTGTTGGCAGCCGGTTGTTTTGAAAGCGCTGTCAAGCGAAGAGGACAAAATGGTGCACGTCGCCAAGGAAATTCTTCCGTACCTGGTGCGCCATCGCCTATGCCTGTAGTTGAAAAAGAAGACAATACAGATCCAGCAGCTGCTGATTCAGGGACGTTTAGTGAGTGTCTTTGGCGTTTGTATTTCTTTAGAATATTTCAAAGTATACTAGAAATGCTCTGCTAGTAAGTGCTTTAGGTCTATACTAGTGCTTTTGGCAATTTAAAATTGTTTTAAGATAGCAATGCCAACAGCTCTGAAGATGGCAATTCAGTGGGATCTGTGGATGGACTAAGTGCGTTTGCTATGTCACTTATGAAGAAGAACACATATGAGGGTCTTCGGAGTCTTCGTGCGAAAGTAAAGAATGCTGTGTTTGAAAAATTTGTTTGATGCTGACATTATGGCAAGTAGGTTACGTAACTGCCTTCTAGATTGAAGAGTCGTGGTTAGAGACCATGGCGCAGCAACCTCCTGACAAGCCTGAATTGCCCTCCAACTATGATAGTTATTTAATCGTGAACAAAAATTTTACGTTGAAAGATACGGTCGACTATGACAGATTAATGAAGGTTCTATTTGTAATCTTGAAGCCTTGTTTCAACGTAAATGATGATTACTTTCCGCTGAATTATTTTCTACATTAAGTATTCATTGTAAAAATTGATTATTTTTACAGGCTTGTGGGGCAGAAAATTACTCGGAAGTTTCATCGGACTTACAGGATCTTTGGAAGTCTCAAGAAGAAAGAAGGTTAAGGATGGAAATTAAACATAAGGTTTTCACTTAAGTTTTTGTCGGAATTAATATTATCTATCGTCTAAGACTTTCAGGCTTCAATAATTTTGTTTTTGCATTCTCGCTTTTATAATTTTATCTTTCAACACAAATAATTCTTTTTTTATAAAAACTTGGGTGGCTGAGCAAATTTCTTATTTAGGTTGAAAGGGAAAAGTTGCAAATGCTAGCAGAGAGGGAGGTTTTGCGGATGCTTAACCGGAAAGCGAATTCCGGACGAGAAGATATGTCAACTGGTAAGCTGTTTGAATTTTTCCCGTGCCGACTGGAGAAATTGACTTTTTTTTACAGTGCGTGTTCTACATGAAACTGACATTTATAACACTTGGTATGTGAAGGAAAGGTCGATAGATCATCCGATCGTCGAGTTTGAGGACGTCAAGAAGAAATTCATGGACCAAGTTACTCTCATGGAGAATCGTCAAAAAATGGAATCAGATGCACTTTTTGCTGAACAGGTGAAAGGAAGAAAAGACGGGTTAAATTGTCAATTGGTTGTTTGGTGCTATTATTTTATTTTTCAATTTTGCAGGTTTACACTTGGAACTCCCTGCTGAAAAATATTAGCCATCCATCTGGGCTCGCGCTTAAAGATAAGGTTCCTAAAGTTTCAGTTCTACATCTGGATTTGCGTTTGTAGTTTGATTACTAACTTTAACTGTGCCTTATTTCGTTTATGACATTCACTGATCTCGTTTATGTAGATTTACCTAATATTCTTCTCTTTTGGAAGTTGGTTTTTTTAGAAATAAAGACAAAAAGTAGAACAAATTTATTATTTTCACTGTGTTTGTTTTGAATGTGTTACTGTTACTGTTCTTGTTATAAATTGTACATAAATGACTTCATAATCAGTTAAAGTTTTACTACATTTTTGCCTACTGTTCTGTTGGTTGATTAATCTACGTTAACTGTAAGTGCTATTTATTTTCGAACAGTTTTTTACGTGGTAATTTTTTAAAAGATGAGCATTTTCCCATACCCTTAATCGTGTTTTGTTGTAATAAAGTTGGAAATATGGACCTCAGTTTCTGTTTGGTAGCGCTGATCTGGCATTGTTTTTGCGTTTATTTCGCAGGATCTTCATACTTTTGTTCTTATTGTTATGATTTTTAATGTGTTGAGTAAAACTGTTGTTCCATTTATAATTCGGCAGCTTCAGTTTTTTCTGGTTTCTTTTACCGGAGCAGGTTTGCAGAAATGATGTCGGTAAATGGTTTATGATAAATGATTTTTAAGTGGTGGACAGGGTACTGTTGTTACAATACTAGCTCCTGCTGAGTCGTTCGGGGAGAAAAGAGGTAGCAGCGAATTCTCATTAGACTGATATATTGGCTATTAATTTTCTTCAGTTAAGTTTTCAGGGGTTTGACTTCCTGAGTGGTACTTGGGATTTTGTAGAAAACTGAAAAAATGGCGGGTACTGACAGCTAGTAATTAGGGACTTGTTATGTTTGTGCTTTGACTTTTGTTTCGGTTTCATTTTACGGGATTCTTTCTTCGCTGTTTTCGTCCTGAGGTGTTTGCGTATTATCCTTGGATGTTAAGGAGGGTAACGGCCAAAAGGTTGGATAAGGATGCGCAACCTACAGATAAGCTTATTGCCGTATGCGAAAATGATATTACATGCTTTGAAGTACCCGCATTGTGCTGTTGTTGGATTACTGGTCGGGAAAGAGGTTGGTTCATGGACTTTTGCTCAAGCGTTTTCTACTCAAAATATTTCTTGAGCTAGAGGCAGTGGAATATGTTTAATATGAAATCATAATGTAAAACCAAGTTTCAGCAGTGACGTGTTATGGTTAGTTTTGGTTAGTTTCAAAAAATTTTTTAATGAGTATTTTTCCCAAAAGATTTTCCAAATTTTATGAAGTTTCAGAACAATAGTGAAATCTTCTGTGTTGATGCTGTACCAGTACTCCATGAAAGCGCTTCATTGTTAACTGTTCTTGAGACTGCTTTAATATCAGTTGACGTTCATTGTAAGCAAAACAGTCTTGACATTATTGGCATTTACTTTTGCAACCAAGCTTTTACTGATGACAGGTTAGTCTTGTGGTTTTTTGTTTGACCGATGATTTTTTGTATCTCTAGGATATCCTTACGTTCAGAAAACTCTTTTAGTTTGGATCAATTTGCAGTCCGTGCAGCAGATAAAGTTGCTTCGTATTTTTCAAATGCCATTTTAGTTCAGGTTTGTAAATTGATTACCGCGTTTTTGTCTCATTCTTCATTAATAACTATGTAACTTTTAGTCTCTAAATTTTATTGAGATTTTCTGAAATATTGATTGTTGTATAAAGCGCCTTATAACTTGCTTTATTATTGCTAACCGCATTTTACAGATTGTGAATTCTAAGTTAAGTCTGGATTCAGCAGAGCCAGCTATTGTTGTTTATTCTAACTTGGAAGCCAAAACTTGGAAACCGAGGAAGTAAGCCAAATTATTTCCTCTTTTTTTATAATTGCATTTCTGTTAGGATAACTTACGAGTCAGAGAACTTCTCTGACAAACTACTTTAAATGTGCACTTCCTTCCATTTCAGGTATGTTTTAGAAGATGAGGAGAACGCTTTAGGAGCACTATCAGACTTTATGCAAACGAAAATGTACAGGGAAATTATTGACTTTGAAAACCATCTTGATGACCCGGCAAAAGATTTTTGGAATAGCAGTTTGAACCAGAAGATTGGGAAATCTGTTATTTAGACTCACTGTACATTATGGAATCGTCAAAAGCCTCCCGATATTACTTTTTGAGAATCTTCCGTTTTATTTTGACAGACCTCAATCATCAGTCAATATCTCATGCTTCGCTGCTGTCACGCTTGGGATCCTTTTGTTTCACTTGATCATAGCGTCCTCTCACCAGCGACACTAAGGGACAATCATTACCAATTATTGGCTTACCTTACGTGTTGGTTCTACTGCCGTTTTTACTTTATATCATCACCTCATATTTATAGGACTTGTAGTTTAGTTGAACTGCTGGATTTGGAATTCGGCAAGAACGGTGGGTGGCAGGCGTTTCGTTTGGCGAGGGATTTCTTATAACGGGCGGAACTAATTTTTTGATAATCAGTGGGTGCTTACGCTGCTATCAATACGACTGCTTCTGATCATTGTGTTACTTGATTAGATCCTTCAAGCACGTTTGCTTTGAAAAGACCGTACTTGATTGCTTTTGTAAATCTCCTTAGTGACCAAAGTTCTCCGACGTTACCCTCATCGGTTTGCAAAAAAAAAAAAATTAGTGGTTGTGATAACTGCTGTGAAGTTTCCACAATTTTTTATTTTATTGCATTACAAGGATATGAGGGTCAAATAAACAATTTTCTTTTGAACAACAAAGGCTTTATTTTCAACTACACGAGCGGCAGACGAAGAGCACTGACACAAATAATTTCAGACTCTAAGAATTCTATATTATTACTTGATTATACATACTAATTACTCGTATATCCACTTCGTGGTGTCTGGGGACCATTCCACTAATTCTTCAGGTTTAAACCAATGTGCAATTTCACGTTTAGCCGAAGCTAGTGAGTCTGATCCGTGAACAACGTTGCGACCCATGTGAATTGAAAAATCGCCGCGAATGGTACCTAAACAAACCTTAACGTCTAGCTCCGGAAAAACTGATGAATCAATGGAAGCACACTTATTTCCTCCTATGTGCCTAAAAAATCATGATAGAGTGAATAGATGGAAGGCTCATAATAGCCTGGCTATAGAGCAGTTCAATTTTTAACCAATAATTAAGTTCCTAATAAGCCTCTAATAACAGTTTATTGAGAATGCAAATAACTAGCCGAGCTGAAATTACACTTTATTTAAACACCTGAATACCTCATCAGATAATAAACGCGTAATTCAAAAACAATATTTCTATTAATAAAGGCTTAACCTTGACACCTCGTGCGGTCTCTAAGACGCACTTTATGGTCAATTAATGATTTGCTTGAAACGACAATGAGCATGTCGGCTTTATGTCTATTCTGGAACAGCTACTCTATGCCATAACCTACCTAGACACCACTATTAATAAAAAAATGTTGCTTACTTTCAACGCAGCGAGCAGTTAAATGATAAATGTGCAAATAAACAATTTCCTAGGCAACTAAATAATGAAAAGCGAGAAATGCCTTCAATATAGGGGCGTTAAGTAATATGCTTTTCCATATAACCAGTTATCTAGAGCAGCATTTCAAAACCTGCGAATCTTAGGATTGCAGGACAGAACTCCAACGCCTTTAAGACTAATATTTCAAGTTCGACGTACTTCTTCCTTTTCGTGACTCCTATTGACTACCAGCGTTGCTCTTTTCGTGTTCTCATGTCCGTTTCAAATCAAAATTTCCCTTTCACAACATTTACCTCCTCCAGATTTTATAACGTGACAAAAGTTAATACGAATGTCTTTCAAAATAAACAACAACCGCCAGATTTTTTGATACACGTTGGTCCGTCTACATCTATCAAACTGATATGTAAAGGAAAACAATTAATAGATCAAAACTAGCTTGTGCGCAAGATACCTAAATAGTCAATTATCTCGTCTAAAACATCATATTGCTGGACAATAGGAGGCGAAAAAAAGACTTTTTCCTCCCCTTCCAATAAGACACGATACGATTAGTTAAACAAAACCAGTGCAGAAAACGCAAGATTTTATTGATTCAAATAAAGAAAATTGCTAACAAATAAACACCTCACTTAACAAATGGATAAATTGTCACCTGGATTGGATTTTAAAGGATTTGTCGCACCCAACATATTTCTAGCTTGTTGAATTACATCTAATCCTTCCCATACCATTGCTACAACAGGGCCCGAGTGCATGTAGTTAACAAGCGGCTCAAAGAACGGTTTTCCTTTATGTTCAGCATAATGTTCCTAATAGGAAAAAAAAAGGTAATAAATTCAGAGGAGCTAATTCAGCGTACTGTTTAAATCAGCAAATGTTACGGCAATAAAAGTAAAACGTCTTACGCCAAAGCCAATCTGACTGCTAACCTCTAAATGTGGACGAGATGCATGCATAAACTTTAAGCCGACAAGTTTATAGCCACGTTGTTCAAAACGTTGAATAATTGTACCAATAAGGCCTCGTTGAACGGCATCTGGTTTGATTGCCAAAAAGGTACGTTCATGTACATCGGCCATTTTACAGAAACTCGAGTCCCCTGCAAAAAAAGCCTCAGCTACAGCTGGTTCAAAATCGCTCTATTTACTGCTGCTTACTGATAAAACCACACAAAACTATAACTTAAAAAATTCCAATAAAACAAATATACTTTAGACGACGATGTAACAAGGGAAAAGGTAGAAAACAGAAAATAGTAGTTGAAAATATATAGGAAAAGTTGATAGGTAACGACAACGATAAAAACAATAACAACAACAATTACAACTACAACAACGACATCAACTCTAAGTGCCCAAACAGATTTTATATTTGCAGACAATTACCAAAAAAAATTTTCTTTTCCCGTCTGTTAGCATTATAAGGACCCCAGCCAACTGAGCAAGAAAAAAACTGAGCATTTCTCATCAATGATCAACGACTGCAATATTCCAACTAACAGCAGTAATCCAACAAAACACAGCTACACTTAAATATAATCTAAGGCCATTTGCACTAGTTAGTCTGTTAAACAAAACAAAACAAACCCCAGAAAGAAGAAAAAAAAAAGAACAACAAGAAACATTTTGCATCTACAGTAAAAATCTTATATCTTAACCAACTTTATTATTATTATTATTATTATTGTTTTTTTTTTTTTTGCAAAAAAATCTAATAACTGAACGATTGTCATCATTACCATTAAACATAAAAACTTATATGTATCCATACAACAACATACCACCACCACGACTACAATGACACGGTAAATAGGGGTACGTTTGGTGCTTTTTTCCTCCTTTTACTTTTCCTTTGAAAATTTTTTCCTTCATTCAAAGAATACAGAACTGTTTATCGTCTTCCCCCTTATATTTATAGTATAATAATTTTTAGTATCTCCAAAAGTCAGTTAATTTGGCATCTACAGTGTGTATTGTTGTCAATTTTCTAAACAGAAAAAAAGGCATACAAAAAGCAACGACCAACTCTAGAACCTCCCTCTTTTCTGCCCATTCTTAATCTATTTCTTCTAATTCCAATAAAGTGCTTTATGAAGATATGCATTGAAACGACTAAAAGCTTCAATCAATCAAACAGTCAGTTATAAGTGCGACAACAACAACAACGACAGCAACACACCAGTAACACCATAGTAATCCAAATTAAAACCATAGATGGTAATTAAAATGAAGTTATAGATGTGTTATTCCTGAAACCTTTGAATCAAAATTCAACCAGTTCAAGCCTCCCGATATACCCCGCAATGAATGGTGGTAGTCAAAAATTTTAAACACTTGGTAGCGCAAATGCTTCAGCCTGCCCCTCTTAGCAAATACCCATACAGCAAACAGTCTTCCTCTTCTACTGCTGTTGCTAAAATCTGTGCTGTTAAGCTGTTGCTTAGTGACACGTAACACCCCTACTACCACCAACAACACTAATACCAACAATAATATAACCATCTATCGGAACACTACCACTAGTTGGCCTAATGGTATCAGTTATCATCACATTAAACTGTAACAACCGTTTTTCATTTGAACTGACAATAGTCTATAAAAACCTAAAAAAAATTCTTTACCTTCTTTTCGAAAGA